TAGAAACAAAAGGTATGGCTAAATTACCATGGTTTTCTTCTAAAGTGGCTAAAAACATGTATTTATAGGTCTAAAATCGTGTAGGTCGAAATCTCTGACAAAACCAAGTCAAATTAGGAAACACTGAAATTTTCCTTTATTTCCGTCGGTTTAGCCAGATTGACAGGTCTTCACGAGAATTGGTGTAACTTTCTGACCGTTGATCCAAATGACTTCAATTTTCTTTTGGATGCAAGCTGACTCAATTGTCTATCTCGTGTCCAAATTTCAGATCAATCCAATGACTTTAAGGTCTCCAACGATTGCTTGACATATGACGCTTTAGAACTGTCCAATATCTCTTTTCTCATTTTTTTTGCTCAATTAACCTATAAAAGACTCTAAACACTACAAACACACTAAAACTACCACTAAAGACATAAAACCGCATAAAAACTATTAGATTGAATAATAAATACCATATAAAAACCATAAAAACTAGGATATATCATTGTCTCATGCTTTCTCCATATCCGAAACCACTAACCTTCTCAAGAATATAATTATGTAAAGCACATTTGCACATCACCATCAATATACAAAATCTTGGGTATTTGAAACTCGGTAGGCGCAAATTAAGGGTGTGAAACCTCACTCCTTTGGTAGTAAGACAGTGGACAATTGTTTCTCCCCAACAACCACATCTTTATTTCGGACCAAATCAAAGCAAGATTTTGGTTTGATGCCCCTCTTAACCACAAATGTAACCATCATTTGTGCCTCTGCCCTGTTTTCTTCAAACAATGCATCAGCTAACTTTTCAAATATTGTAGCATCAGGAATGAATCCTTCCCTAATCATCTCAGCCATCACCTCCAAAGCTTTATCTATCATTCCGGCTTTGTAACACCCTTCAGTCAATATAACATACATTGCTTCATCGATCTGAAACTCATTTAGACGCAACTCCTTCAACAATCTCATGGCTTCATACACTTTTCCAGCTTTGCAGAGTCCATTCATCAACCCCCAATACGTATCCCCATTCGGAGTAACACCTCGGGAACTCATTTTGCTTTGTAGTTCAAATGCTTTCTCCACTTGTCCGAATCGAGAGTAGCCATTCATGATCAAATTATACAGATAAGTTTCCACTCTTAGCTTCTTATCGTGCATTGTGGAAACCAACCTCTCTGCTTCTTCAAGCTTGCCGTAGCTAGTGAAACCGTCGATCAAAACCTTGTAACTATCGAGATCAAGAGTCACACTTTCCTTGTCCATTAGATTAAGAATCAAATCCAACTCTTGAAAATTCCATCTCTTGACACAAGAATCAATCATGGACTTAAATGTAACAATATTAGGCTTAATCCCTGTCCCCTCCACCAATTCTCTTGCTCTCGGGACCTCTCCACTGCAACACAAGGCGGAAACAAGGACCGTTAAAGAGTACACAGATACAACATCTGTCCCGGAGCCAAGCATTAGACGAAAGAAATCACAAGCTAATTCCACCTGATGACTTTTCTTAAGATTTAGCAGATGCAAAGTACAAGTCTTGTCATCAATCTTAACCTCATTGTTCTTCATATACTCAAAAACCTCGACAACCTGATCGAATTTTCCGTTGTCTGAATAAACCATGAGCATCGAATTAAAGAACCTCGAAGCGAGTTTGGTCTCGAAACCGCATTGGCCAACGACGGTAGAGGCGATGGCGAGAAAAGGGTACCTGAGAATGTCGTCAACCGCCACGGGTTTCAAGAGTTTAAGCGCATCCGAGAACTTCCTCTCCGACAAAAGTCGGAAAGTCAGAGACAAGTGAGTGTTGAGATCAGGCTGAAAAGAGAAAAGAGATGGGTTTTCGAGGACGAAATGGAAGAGGGAGACGCATTTCCAGGATTTGATAAAAGGGTCGGATAGAATACGGCGAAAGGTGGAGAGATTGAGATCAAAGAGAGGTTTTTTGGGTGAATCAAATTCAAGACTTTGGTTTATAGAGGAAGAATAGATGAGAAGCTTGTAAACTGAAAATGGGTATGTTCGTTTGGCTGTCTTTAGGGTTTTCAGGAAGCTTTGCAGAGTCATTGTCACTGTCTTCGGCTTTGCCTCTCCGTTGGCCAGAGTTGGAACTTTGGACCGGCTGCCAAAAAGTAGCGTGATGTTCGGTTTTCCAATATCAGAACAACACGATTTCTTATCACCTTCATGCGTCAA